CATCCATCCATCCATCCATCCATCCATCCATCCATCCATCCATCCATCTATCCATCCACCGTGCTCACTTCGTCCTAGCCCTCTCTGTGTGGCGGTGAGGTCCGCACACTTCACACATCGTTGACTGGTTTGTCTCACTATAGTGACCATCCTCACAGCTCATGCAGTCCCAGCAGCAGACGGAGGGGCTCGGCAATACTCTGAAGCCTGGAGGACACACGAAACCGCACACCGACATCGGCCGCAAGTTTCCTGAAAAGTACGTCGGATGGCGCTGCTAGCACGGTGGTCAAGCTAGAATCTTATATAGAGAGATAGCCTTCTCTATCTAAGGCTCTGAGTGAAGCTAACTTAAAGACGCCTTCCTACGAAATCAATAGTGTTTTTACACAACAGTGCACAACGTGATTAAATAATTACCTGAAATTTACCTGTAAATTTGACTTAGTTTACCAAACGCGTCATCCGTAGTATGGTTAATGTTTCACGTTATTCTTACTAATGCCGTATCATTTTTCTGTCGGATGCCGCGGTTTTAGTCCGTATATTATTTAAGCTTGATCCGCTCCCTATCTCATTCTGTCACATATTGTAGTTTTAACTCGGTCAAATACCTTAGCGTCTGACCTGCTTTACTTTTAACGCCCAACTTCCTTAGACTCAGACCCCAGCTTTCTGCTGCCTACTCACTCACCAGAGGGGCTGGAATCTCGTAATGTTAGGATGAAATTCGCTAGTATTTTTTAAATCCTCATAACATTACCATGTTTCTGCCTACGGTCTACAAGAAAATTCAACTTAAAACTTAACTTAAGAAGCGAAATGTTAATACGAATATTAAGACCTAATTAATTAAGACTAATTAATATTTGTTTCTGAAAACACATTTGTTTCTCTCATGCAGCTAGCTTAGCTGCTGCTGCCCACCTTTCTTCCACACTATCAGCGATTCATTGATGACCAGGTTTTGCTCGGCATCACTACGCCACTCTCCGACCTTCCGGTGAACCGCCTCACCTCCCGCCGTCTCATTCAATTGCATGTTAACGATATCATATCGAGTCTGCACGAGATCGCCTTGCTCGTCGAACGTGAAGTACAAATTCTCGAACAACGTGACGTTGACCGCGCGAAGATAAGGTCCTAGCGGTGCGCACATGTCGCCTTGTCGCACTGCGGCGTCCAGCGCATGCGCGACGGCGTAGATGGCCATCATCAAATTAGCGCTATCTAGCGTCGCATTCTCGACACCTTCGTCGCCGTAGCCGCATGAAGCGGCGGCGTCGTCGTCGCTGCGAAGCAGTGACGTCAGCAGCGGGTTGTCGCATAACGTGTCGCTGACGTGTCGCGTAAAGTTCTTGACGACGTCGGTCAGTTCGTCGGACATGACACTGTAGGTTCGAACACCTAGCATGCCGGCCAGCACGGCCGGACTCGTCTCTGATATGCTCGGACTGTCCGACCAGTCCTGAGTACCGATCCACGTCATATCTGCGAACGTAGAGGCGGATTTAGAGAAAAGAAGAAGCGGATTAAGAAAGAAGAAGAAGTGGATTAAGAAAGAAGAAAAACCGGATTTAGAAAGAAGAAGAAGAAGAAGAAGAAGAAGAAGAAGCGGATTTGGAAATAAGAAGCAGAAGAAGAAGAAGAAGAAGGGGAGAAGGGGATGTAGAACGAAGAAGAAGAAGAAGAAGAAGAAGAAGAAGAAGAAGGGAAAAGCGGATGTAGAACGAAGAAGAAGAAGCAGCGAAGCTTGCTTAGAAAGAAAAAGAAGAAACGGAGAAGTGGATTTAGAAAGAAGAAGAATAAGCAGGAAAGCGATATGAAAGGCATGTGTCATCCTGTGTTATCGAGAACATGACGAGTAGTCTGTGAGATCATAAATTAAAATTAAAATTATTGACTTTAAATTGTCGTAAAATTTTCGAGTGCGCGTGCGTGAAGTTGACGTTTTATGACTTGTGATTTGTCGTAAATATTTACTGCTTTCCTGATAATGTCCGTCGACACGCCCCGCCCTGCCTGTCACTCACACAGACAGACAAACAAATACATACACCAGCGCACACACGCACACACACACACACACACACACACGCACGCACGCACACACACATACAAGCACACACACGCACACGCACACGCACACAAACACAAACGCGCACACTCACACACGC